GGAGTAAACATCTATTCACAACAGACATATTTGACAATAATAAATGTGCTATTCACTTTCGTTTTCTTCCTTGTTTGTGTCTACTAAATTACAATTTGTAACAGAATGCTCTTTGCTCTTTATGCTCAAATTATTATGTTACATTTGTTACAATATATTGTAACTCTATTTTTTCTCCTTTCACAACAATGGCAGTTCCCTCGTTTTTTTTTTGTTGTTGGTTCTTCATAGTGATCATCTTGTATGGCTTTGTATTTCTTCAAGAATATGAGGTAAACTCTGTATTTCAGCTCTCTTTGAAAGATCAAGTCTGATTAATGCCAATGATAATTCTTTGAGAATAATTCTTCTATATTTTTGAGGATTGTGAATGTTCCCAGCATTGTACAAGATCTGGCTGATAATTTTGGAAGGAATTGAAAAAGCAATTACATAACCAGGTACTTGGTGTACTACATACACCACTGGTAAAACTTCTTCTGAATTTTTCCAACTGTCATTCCATCTATACAGTAATCAATTTACAACCTATTGAAGCTTATAGCTGACACATCAGAGATAGGTTACGTAGAGGGGTGTGTGTGCAAGCATTGCTTATCAGACATTTAGCTTAACAGCTTAACAATTTAGTGCGACTGGTATACTGAATACACTGTAGCCTGTTAGCCCATAGTTAAAAGTTAAAGAACATTCCAAATGTTGTATGGTGTGCTCATGTTGTGCTGATGCTTTGTTCATAATTTATTGTAAATAACTATTTACATGAAAAATACGAGGCTGGAAACAAATGTTTTAATTTTAAGTAAAGTATATAAGCTATAAGTTATAATGTATGTTATAATAAATATATCTTATATATACAAATATATAAGATAATAAATAAAATAAAGAAAGGAATGATAATAACACGATAATTACAAGCAAAAATAAACACCAAATCTTTAAGACAGAACTGGAAAACTGCTCACTGTATGGCTCAGAGACGTGGGTGACAAATAAAAGAATGGAAAACAGAATAATCTGTTAATGGTAATCATGTTTTAGATAAGAAGCTGCAGATTAACACCAATGGGCAAAGTGAGAAGTGAACAAATTAGATCATTGTCCATAAATAGGGAATATCCCTTTCAGGCCTGACTTCTTTTTTATAAAAATATTGGTTTTTAATGTTAGTGCCGTTAAAGGGACCTTATATTAAGGCCACAAAAAATATTGAAAAAAATACTTCCCCCTCCACGGGGCAGATATTCACCCTGCACGAAAGTGACGTTCAGGCTTAAAATGTGTTTGTGCACTATCGTGACTTCTAGGTATTTAATAGGTTAGTGGTTTCGATTAAATAATAAAAATGCATAAATAGATGCAAGCTATATTAATTTAAAGAGTTTGAAAGTAAAGGTAAATAATTTTACAAACATTTCTCCTAAAAACAAATGTTGCCTTACATTTATTTCTTATGATACATCGCAAAACAGTTTTGTTTTCGTGATAAGCAAAGGTATACATTACATTTTTCACAGCGTATTTTTGACCGACTGTGACAATTTTCCATTCTACATGCACGAGGATTATCGATTTCATCGAAAGTGGGAAAATGATTATATCCATCGTACCTTTTAACCTCCGAGGGTTTAGCTGATCGTCTGTATTTAGGAGAGGAATTGGGGTTCTCGTTTTCATTACTTTCTGTTTCTTCGTGATTTCTTTTTCGGTTAGGTGGTTCGTTAACAAGCCCTTCAGCTACTTGCATCCTGAACTCCAAAAGATCCATGATTTTGTTTTTAGGAACTGCAGAAGATTCAGATTCTATTTTATACAATCTCCAAGAATTTGCTACTGCTAAATCGAAAAAATGGAGCATCACTTTAAGAGTCCATTTGGTAGTTTTCATAAAAGTCCGGTAATACTCTAATGATTGATCTAGTATGTCTACCCCACCCATAGTTTTGTTGTAGTTAGCAATCACTTTAGGCGCAGTAACATCAATATATTTTGCTCCCTGTTTATCCCAGCGTTTCACGTTAATAGTTTCATCTGAAGATGTACAATTGGATGAAATAAGAACAGACTTATTGTCCTTCCACTTCACAACAACTATATTGTCGCATACAAACTGTTGACATTCACCACGTTTCATGTCTCGATCTGCTTTAAAATCCATACTATTCCGCTCTGGCAATCGGTTCATCATTATCGTACATGTACCATGCAATCCCATTACATCTAAACGTTCCAATAGTGGTACGGAAGCAAAATAGCGGTCAAAGTAAATGCAGCTTCCTGGAGGAATAGATTTTGAAAGATGGAGGACCACTGAAGCTCCGACACCTAAAGACTTGTCCTCTAATGGAGTTCTTATACCTTGGTATATCTCGAAATCAATCATTAGTCCATCATGAGTAGTGGCTACAAATGCTTTCAAACCTTGAGGCCTAGGTTTAGTTTTGATAACTTGTCGCAATCCCCGAGGGCACGTACCGCTAAATGGGATCATCTGTTCGTCGATAGAGTAGTATCCTGGCATTCTTTCTAATCTGTAGCACGTTCTCTTAACTTGATCCAATACTGGTTGTACTTTCCAAAGCGAATTCGTATTTCCTGGCAAAGCTGAGTCACTATCTACGACATGAAATGCCGTACGTAAAATTTTGAATCTTTCTCTTGAAATTACGTTTGCAACTAAAGGCAAACGCATTTCGTCACGCCAGTACATGTATAATCGTGGATAAGGGATACAACCCATAATGATATGTACCCCAATGAGTTTTTTTAATTCTGTTGCCTTAGTGTTCAGCACACGACCAGTTTTTCGAAGGTGGTAATTATTAGTACACATAGCAGCATTCTCAAAAAAATCATCATCAAAATAATCTTTGAAATATTCCAGTGGATTTCTAATGTTGATGTCTGATGACCGTCTTACTGAATAACTGTGATCTTTTTGAATAAATGGCACTTGCCTCCAGAGCCTTCTTCGACTGATCACGCCGCTGTTCTGTTTTAATTTAGTAGGTTTTTGACTACTTTTGTCTCCTAATACAACAGTATTTGGATTACCAGAAGAACAAGAAGGTTCTTCGGTGTGAATAATATTTTTCAACGGTTTATTACTTTTTATTACTTCTTCAATGTCACCTATACTTTCTACTTCTGAATTATCTCCATCACCAATAAGCTGCAGAACTAATTCATCTGTTAACTCGAGTTCTGCAACAATAAAAAATTAAATTAAATAAAAAAAATTAAAAACCTCATTTTAAATACATGTAACAAATAACTTTTAAAAAGTGAATACGAGACGGACACGCACGATCGTGCTTATTTACTTTTGATCAAGAAAATTTGCTCGTGAAAATAGATATTTGTATGTAATTACTATTTCCATACATTATCTATTCCTTTACAAACATTATCAACTCAATTATTAAATCTTTCTACAATGAAAATGAGTGAAAAATGGTACTTACTGCGACCACTGCCATCATCAAAGTACACCGACATTTTTGCTCGCCGATAAACAACATTTAACTGTCTATTAACTTGAAGATGCGTTAGTATACACTTAGTATGATTCATGTACTATCATTTGGAGCTGCTATGACCCTGAAACGATCAGTTTCTAATGCGCGGGAATTTTTGAAATGAAACGTCACGATCGTGTAGGGGCGGCCTGAAAGGGATATGCAGTATTTAAATATCTTTTCATATTATTCTGAAGCTATTTTCTTGTGACATCTTACAATTTACAATTTCAATTTCCTATTTTTATTGGCAATAAGTCACAATTTTACTTTAAATACACTGCGGAAACTGTTCTCAAAATACAAAACATTAATAAATTTATTAACGTTTATAACATTAAAACACAATTTATTAATGTTTCAAGTTTTGAGAACGATTTCCGAAATGAAAATCAAAATTTAAAGTAAAGTTGTGGCTTATTCCCAACATAAATAGTAAATTACCTTTTGATCAACCAGTACAAATTTATGCCCTTGTACTTATGCCTTTTGTTTTTTAGATACTGGTGAAAGATGCGTGTACCCCTCCAAATTATATGTGTAAAACGGGACCTATGAATGTTAATAATTCTTCTTTATAATGATTAAATGTTATACATGTAGAAAACACTGCCTATTAGATAAATTACCTTCAATTGTCTGATCAAAGAATTCTTCATCACTAGAATCACTAGATTCTGATCATTTTTTTTATTCCTATGTACTTTGTAGGTACGTTTCAAATATCCAATGTTTTAATAAGATTATTAATAAACAAACAATGTAATTTGTTTAAACAGATAAATCAAAAGTAGCTGTAAGTTTGTAGAAGGGTTTTGTGTTGTAAACAAATTTTGTTTTTCACTTTTTTTATACATATTGACAGTTTAACCCTTTTATGATGACATTGTCATCATTTTCTGATTAATGTTATTGCAAAAATATTTGCACTGAAATTTTGAGAGTTTGTTAAGGACCGCAATACAAAACTTTGAGCATAATAACAAATGTCTAGGTTGATTTTTACAATAGTTATAATCAATTAACGATTTTGTTCTTTTTATGTTTTATCTAGCTATCATTTTAAGTTTTTTTATGTTTTATAAGATAAAAGTTTTGTAATTTTACCTTAAATATTCAGCTTGTTAATCATAAGCAAAAAATCGAAAAAATGGCATTTTTTAAAATAAATTGTTAATAATTAAATAAAGACGCCGAAATCTCTACAGAAAATGTGTAGGTGTTCTTTATATAGACCTATAATATCAAAAAACATTCAGATACCTGGATTTGTCACAGTCCTGAGAAAAATCTTATTTCTCAGAGCTAATTTGATTTGACGTTTTATTTCTAATCTGGAAATCGTTTTCAAGTAACTAAACTTTATATTGACAATAGCAATTACTTTTTTTATGACTCTATTTGAGAGACAAAACAAGATTTCAAATCCACTCTTCGATTTTATTAATTCGTTTAATTTGAATTATTCATATGTTTTAGCTCGTGGAGGTCTTGTTGACGACGACGCCCTAGCACAAGCCCTAAAACAAGGTAGAATAAGAGCTGCAGCCCTAGACGTACACGAAAATGAGCCATACAATGTGTATACTGGTCCACTAAAAGAATGTCCGAATTTACTGTGCACACCTCATGCAGCTTTCTACAGTGACGCTTCAGCTACAGAACTCAGAGAGATGGCAGCGTCAGAAATCAGAAGGGCAATCATGGGCAGGATACCAGAGTGTCTGAGGAATTGTGTCAACAAAGAATATTTCATGGGACCGGGAGCTTACCCTGAAGGTACAGGTAATACAAGTGTTACTAACATTATTTTGCACTTTATATGTTTGAAGGGGCAAACACAAAATAGTTTATATTCTCACATATTCATAAAAAACCAGTACTCGAATAGGTCATGTTTACTATTGAAGTTATTCACAGATATCATGAAATACTATATAGCTATTTATAAAAACGTTTTAAATGCTAATATTTTCAGTAAACTAGTGTCCCCCATCTTGTAACATTTTACTTTCGAATTTATATGATTATCAGATTGAGGTTCAGATTGATGTTCTGATATCCATATGATTATCAGATTGAGGTTCATCAAATGTTATGAATGTTATGTATGGTCGCAACTGCTATATGGGGTAGAAACTTGGAATCTGAAAGCCCAATCTATAGAAAAAATCAAAATGTGGCTATATAGGCTCATTTTTAAAATTCCTTGGACTGCAAAAGTTTCAAACAAAGAAGTGTTAAGACGAATTCGACATGGCAGAAAGCTTATGAACACAATTAAAATAAGAAAACATTGTATCTGGGCCACATACTTTGAAACGATAAATACCCTCTGCTAAACTTCATCTTGCAAGGAAGAGTAGAGGGAAGAAAAGGCTTGGAAAGAAAGTAGAAATCGTGGCTAAGAAATATCAGAGATTAGACTAACCTTAGTGTTAAACATATATTTCACATTACAAAACATAAGGAAGCGTTTAAAGAAGTGATCGCCAACCTTCATTAGAAGAATACTAGTTTACTCTTATATGGTTATTTTTGGTACCTATTAGGTTACGAATTTTCTTTTTGACTTCTATACCTATATTTTGTGTCATGTTTTGTTTAGCTATTACCACATACTGTTATTTGACTACTATTTCTTATAATATTGTTTGCATATTTTCTTTTCGTGGTTATAAATACAACTACTTCAGGTCTGTGAAAATTAAAAATAACGCCCGTTTGTTATTCACATCTTCATTTATCTTATTGTATAGGATCTTATGGCTCTGTGTTGTTGATTGATCCCTACTGGAAGGCGATAAGACTCTATAACCTGGAGACATCTATTTAAATCAAGGTTGTTACACTAAAAACGTTCCAATTGGCAATTTTAGATTTTGAAAACTAGCACAAACGATTTCTGTAAATGAACGGCCAAACTACTTCCCTAGGTCCGTTAACCATGAATTCTGGCTTCTTCCTATGCCTCGTTTTTGTCCTCTATTATGAGTCGACGTAGTTTGTATCTTTCAACTCTTCATAAATGACTCAAGTACTGTATTTTTCTTTCTTTGATGGTATAGGACTTGGATAGTTCTTTTTATTTACTCATGTACTGGAGAATCTGGTCGTTGGTGATGACATGTATCCATGAAATTCAAATTATACTCCTGTATATGTGCATAAATTTTGAAGACTATTTGCGAGTCCATGTACCAACTTTTGTCTCCATAGAGTAAAACAAAGAAAGCATCTGATTGTCTTAAGTTCTGAGCTTTGGACTAAGATCTTATCTTGCAGAAAATGTCTTCATACTCACAAATGTTTTCCCTGCTTGTTCAATTCTAGATAATATTTCTACTTTTTTTTGGTTATACTCTTTCGGTATTTACTCTTAGGTATGTTCTATAGGGGATTTAGTATCTTTGTCCCTTGACATGTAGATATGTGTTTGTATTACTAGTTTTTAAAAGGACTACTATTTTGGTTTTGAAAAAGTTTAGATGTAAGCCTAAGATTTCACTACAATGGACTACAGAATTGATTACATATTGTGGCTCTGGCACGTTGTTTGCTATTAGGATGCTGTCATTAGAATTGTAATTCCGTTTATCTTGATTCCACCCTGGGCCTCATCCAATGCTTTCCTAAATATAGATTCCGAGTACAGAATAAACATGAGTTGGGGAAGAAACATACCCTTGTCTCACTCCTCGCCTAATCCGTGTATATTCTAATGATATTTGTTCTATTTGGACTCTTACCATTTAGTGCCAGTAGAGTTCTGTGATAACATGTTGTTCGACAATCCTGGTTGAACTTAAAATATCAGTCATCTATAAACATATGTATACATCTACATTCATGTATATGTCATTGTGTAAGTATGTTAAAGAGTTTTGCATTCCTAGTTCATTTCTACATCCAATAACTATGTATTGGATGTATATTATATATATAAGCGAGGTTCCTACAGCCTCTGCCGTTTCTCGCATTTCGACCGCCATCGTTTTCTGTCCATCCATTCGTCTTCTCTGATGGCTCTATCTCTCATTATGTGCCGTACATTTTCTTCCCAGACAACTGAAGGCCTTCCCCTTCTTCTTCTTTGTTGTGGTATGTAATTTAAAGCTTTCTTTGGCCATCTATCTTCATTCATTCGTTTCACGTGACCATACTACACTAGTTGTCTCGTTTCAATTCTATCTACACTGGAATATACAGTATTTGTCCTCCTTCTAATATCTTCATTCCTGATGTGATCTTTTTTTGGATATACCACACGCTCTCCTTAGAAAATCCATTTCTACTACTTCTATTCTTTTTCTATCCTTCTGCGTTATCTGCCAAACGTCTGCCCCATAAGTCATAATAGGCTCTACCAAGGTTCGATAGATTGTCAATTTCGTTTCTTGTCTAATATCTTTAGACCAAAGTAGAGAGTTTAGAATGTTTACCACTTTTTTTCCCTGCTGTGTTCTGTTTTCGATGTCTCTTTTGGTAGTGCCTTCTTTAGATATTATAGATCCGAGATATTTATATTCATTGCATGTTTTTGTGTTTCTAATTTCTAACTCTGGATCTTCTTCACCATCTCCTATTTTAAGATACTCTGTCTTTGCCATATTCATATTGAGGCCCCATTTTTCATATTCTTTCTTTAGTTTTCTAAACATGTAGTCCATGTCTTCCTCGTCATTCGCTACGACTACCTGGTCATCTGCGAAAAATAAAGCTGTTAGACATTCACCACCGCCTATGTCTATTCCCATTCCGGATACTTGTTTTCTCCACTGCTCTAGCGATGATTGAATATATATTTTAAACAGGGTCGGAGACAGACAACATCCTTGTTTAAGCCCCTTGGTTATTGGAAATGATTCAGATATAAAGTTTCCTTCTTTAACGACACTTCTTGCATTTTTGTATATATTTGCGATAGCATCCACATACTCTCTACTGAGACCTACTTTCGTCAATGTATAAAATAGTTTTTTCAAAGGTACCGTATCATATGCCTTCTCTAAATCTACAAACAATAGGTGGGTAGATAGATTCCTTGCCTTCCGTTTTTCGATTACCTGCTGCAGAACGAATATATTATCAATGCACGATCTTCCTGCCCGAAATCCATTTTGTTCCTCTATGTCTTCATATTCTGATTCAATTCGTTTTTTTATTATTCGACCGTACAACCTCCCAACTGAGCTAGTAACAGTTATTCCTCTATAATTAGAGCAATTGCGTTTATCCCCTTTTTTGTATATTGAGCTGATGTATCCAACATTCCAATCATCAGGGATATTTTGTCCTTTTAAGCATTTATTAAATAGTTTAACCATCATCTCGTGTAATATTTTTGGTCCATACTTTACCAACTCAATTGGGATGTCTCCAGGTCCTGCTGCTTTACCGTTTTTCGATCTTTTGAGGGCATCGCTTAACTCTCCGGTTGTTATCTCAATTATTTGTGTATGTTCAGATATTTCTTCCATTTCGATATCTTGGAATTTACGTCTATCCTCTGTCAATAAGACCTCATAATGCTGTTTCCACTGTTTCAGATCTATTAATTTTAAGTTAGATTTTTCCTTTCCTTCCCTCCGGAGAGACTTTATCACCTTCCACGTTTGCCCAACTCTTGTTCCACCCATATACGTATCCACCTCTGCACATCTTCGATCCCACATCTCATTTTTACTTTTCACTACTTCTCTTTTTACATCTCGATTTAATTTCATATATACCTTGTGATCTTCCTCCTTTCTCTAACTAACTCTAACTATAACTATGTATTATTAATCTAAAATGGACTGTTACATTAAGGATATTGCTGGTAGATAGTGTAAAAACCTCAATTTAAACTAATGGGCAGAAGTTTTCGAGATATGGAGGTGTGTGCATATATATTTGAATGTCTTCAACTTTTTTTTTTATTTTGATTGTTAAAATCGAGATGTGTTATGATGTCTTGCTTGTCTATTAAATCGATACATTTTTCGCAAAGTAACGTAAGTGACATTTTTGGCGAAAATCATGTTTTTCAATTAAACTAACACTATTATTGTTAAAAAGGTACTGCCAAAGTGTAGTAAGCCTAGAATTATTTTAAACCTTTTTTAGGACAAGTTTTTTCAGTCATAATTTAAATAGGTTTAACCAGGTTGAATTAAAAAATTGTTTTTTCTAAAAATCGTGTTTGGTAACTTACGTTACTTTGCCAAAAATGTATCGAAATAGTCAATATAGTATTATTTTATATGACTATTTGTAAAACAATTTGTAAAAATTATAGACTATTTTGTTTGCTATTGTAATTATTTTTCAAATACCAATAATTTTGACAAATAATTACAAAATATTTGTACTTTGAATGTATGTTGCATAAAGAGTTTTTATTAAACTGCATAATTTATAATTAACAAATAAATTAAAAATCTAAGATATCAGAGGAAGTTAAAAAATAATGAAGGGACAAAAATAACATCACCAAAAAAATTCTGTAAACAAACATTTTATTTGTTCTTTTTTTTAGCTTTGTCTTCTTTTTCTATATCAGGGGGAGACACTACTTGTTGCTAGTACTTGGTCGTGAGACCTTTCGTACCAAATTCTGTTTTTGCAATAAACTCCACTAAGAAGTCATGGATTCTTGATAAAAGCTAGCAACATTCTTATGGAGACTCATGTGAATTTTTACTTGGCTCAATATTTGTTTTACCTGTGTAGTCCACCTCATGCCACTAGGCGAGTTTCACATTTAGGGAAAGCATGTAGGTAGTTACTTGTCTTCG